CCAAGTCTCCTCCCTCTCCCCCTTTTTCCCTCCCCTTCTCCCCACAGCCGGATGCTGACAGGAAGATGCATTCTCAGCTGTACCTCATTCCACAAGAACTTTCTTTGCCTGTAGGTATTTTGCAATCTCATCAGCTTTCTGTCGCGGTCACCTTATCAGATGAGCTTGTCTCGGGGGATTGGGGAAGAGGGGTGAGAGAGATCCCGCAGTTTACTTTTGAGAGGGGAGTAAATTCAGTTCAGAGGCACAAAAGGAAGCCCACTTGAACTGGTGATGCCAATAAGAACCTAATTATTAGTGGGGTGGGATGGAGCCAAGGATATCCTCAGGGCTGCAAGACTGAGACTCTGGGGCAGGCAATGCACTGCTTGTGAAGTACCTCAGGCGTGTGAGAGGGGGCGAGATGAGGGCTGTGATGCAGATCAGTAGCTGCTCCATGCTATGTATGCACCAGGGAAAGAAAACGACAATATCAGATGTGTTCACTCCCAACTCAGGTCAACATATGAAAGCCCAGAGGCCTCCACGGGAGCCTTTAAAGACCTCCTCGCCTCCTGAAGTCAGAGGGCAGACTGTTTTATTTTTCTTTCTTTTTTAAAAATATGTTTTTATTGATTTCAGAGAGAGAGAAACATCAATGATGAGAGATAATCATCGATTGAGTGCCTCCTGCCCACCCCCTACTGGGGATCGAGCCTGCAACCAGGGCATGTGCCCTGACTGGGAATCGAACTCTGATCTCCTGGATCATGGGTCGGGGCTCAACGACTGAGCCATGCTGGCCAGGCAGAGGGTAGACTGTTTTAAAGTCCCTCCCGCCCCAGGCGATGTTTTTTTCCTAGAGGATTTATATAAATTGCTGAATGAACAGCCCTCACAAGTCTTCCATGTTAATGTCAGAGCTCTGATAAAGGAATGAGATCCTGAGATACGGAGAGAACATGCACATGGCTGTGCTTGAGACCTCGACTCCGGAGCTGCCTGAACCTGCAAAGCCAGCACAAGTGTCCCCCTCCGGCTGCTATGAGATAAGCGCCCTCTCCTGGCTTCAAGGCCATTTACAGGCCTCAGGTGAGGTGTGTGCCTTGAAAGATGAGTCTGGCTCTTCTCGGGATCTGCCCTAATTTCCCTCATTGCTTCTAAACCACTAACTCAATTCAGTCTCAACATGGCCCAACCAGGGAAGTATGAGCCCTGCTTTGGCGGGAAATGGATTATTCATCAAAAACACCTCTGGTCCTGGCGAATGTGTACTGGCAGGGACTGAAAGAGCATGTTGGGTACTGGATGAAGATATCCTATGATTTAGGGTTTAATATCCTAGCAGTGGCTCCTGTACTTACTCCTAATAGGCTGCTAATAGAGCTCCTTGAAGTTGGAAAAAATGATAGATGGAAAAGCTGGAACTCCTTGGGTAGATATTGAGGAAAGCCTCAGAAAAGTAGTCATGTCAGAATGGATTTATTGCTCAACGTCAGACACTAGCTGATTGTGTTCCCCTCAAGGTCCCCGAGACTTCCTTTCGCTCTATCCACAGGGATCTGTTAGTGAAGGAGAACCCTCATTGTTGAGAAGCTGAGCCAGTTCTCAGCCCTGGGACCCATAAATTTAAGAAAAACAGGTCCCCTTGAGGAAAGATTCTGAAGTGCCTGCAGTTTATAGTATGATTCCCCAGGCCTTCTCCTTAGGGACCTATGAGTATTTCCCCAGGTGACGAGCATTCTCTGGGGAAAGGAGAACATTCACACCTTTTAGGGGTAGTTGGACATAGGGTCTGAGATAGCTCTAATACAGGGCACAAACCCATTCTCGTGGCCCCCCTGTAAGAGTGCGGAGGCTGGTGACAGTGTCTTGGCTCAAAGTTTGTCTCGCAGTATGGCCAATGTGTGATTTTTCTGGTCTCTGAGTACATAATTGGTGTGGAAATACTTGGTAGCTGGCAGTACCCTCACGTTGGTTCCCTGGACTGTGGAGCAAGAGCCAGAGGGAGGAAAGGCCAGGTGGAAGCTCTTGAACTTGCTGACTCTGGCCAAGACGATAAATCAGAAGCAGGGATCAGTGTGGAACTGCAAGGATCAGTGCTACCCTCAAAAATGTAAAAGGATACAAGGTTCCCATTATATCCCCATTTAACCTACCAGCCTGGTCCCTCAAAACATGAGGTGAGTTATGGCAGATGGTATGAACCCATTTATTGGCTAACATGGAAGGCTGTCATTTTTGAATGGGGCTCTTTGGTAAGTTCAGGCAAATTATAGGACCTGCTGCTCCATGGGCCATATGTCATGGCAGATCCTATGGTGCTAGAGGTTTCTTGATAAGAATGCCATGAACCTTTTCTGCAAGCTCTGAGAGAAGAGTCACAGCACAGAGAGTTTATACTTTTGGATCAAGACAATGCCATCTGCAACAGAGAACTATTCATCATTTAAAAATCAACTCCTCACATGCTACTGGAACCACATAGAAGCTTGGTATCTGACTTCGGAGCATCAAGTGACTATATGATGGAGATGCCCATCAATATCTGGAATTTGTCAGACCTACCAAGTATAAGATTGACAGGTAAAGCATAAAATGAAAATCATACATTCAAGTTCAGGGCAAAGGGGGCTTGAATAGGATAAGCGATAAGCAAGTTAAAGATGATTCCTATTTCCTCTCCCGGACACCTTTGTCTATTGCACTAATGCCAATCCCACTGCTCATACTCATGGCCTTGTGGGAGATTCCCTATGACCAGCTGACAGAATGTGATAGGTTCAGGTTGTAGGTAAAATTCAAAAGTGTATTGCACTACCCTACAATCCCACTCAAAGTTGGCCCTGAAAGAGAGCAGTGAGATGAAATTCTCCTGTGGGAAGATCTTTTATATATATGTTTTTACTGACTTTAGAGAGAAGCATCAGTGAGAGAAAGAGAAACATGGATTGGCTGCCTCCTGCATGCCCCCTCCCTGGGGATCGAGCCTACAACCCAGCATGTGCCCTGACCGGGAATCGACCCGGCAACTTGACCTCTTGGTGATGGATGGTACGACGCTCAGCCAACTGAGCTACACTGGCCAGTGGGAAGATCTTTAAGTGGTATAGCTGGCCTTTAGGTAGGTGTGGAAGGGGAGTGGTCAGAGGTGAGAATACGCATATGCATAACCTTTCTCCCTGAGAGTCTGGCTACTTCCATGGCAGCACAGTGCTTGAAAATTGTTCTTTAACTGGAGTGTCCAGAGTAGGGATGAGGGTTTGCATGTGTATGCCCAGCTGCAGAGTAGCCCATAGTTACCACCAGTGCTGAATTTCAACTAATCAATAGAAAAAAAATCATGTTAAACTCTCAATATGGCACCATTCCTAAAGAAACCAAACAGCCACTTGATGGCAAGTTGAGTAAATTAGACTTCTTTCAGCCTGGAGGACACAACAATTTGGGTTTGCAAGAATTGATACATGTTTATATTTTTTCCACCCTCTCCCATATTTTCTTGGCCACCACTACTATCTGAATGGCTGAGAGTTTCTGAATATCATTACATGGCTAAAGTTAAAAAGACTATACCTACTGTTAAGGATATAGATGAACTAAAACGGTCATACTGCTGGTAAGAATGTAAAATGGTACAACTTTTTTGGAAAACAGGTTGACAGCTTCTTTAAAGTTAAATATATACCTACCATATGGCCCAGCCATTCCACTCCATTTGTATTAGCCAAAACCTAGAAACAACATAAGTGTCTATCAACAGGTGAATGGAAAAAGAGCAAATAGTGGTAAATTCAATGGAATACTACTTGGTAATAAAAGGAATGAACTGTTGAAACATGCAACAATATAAATGAATCTCAAATTAATCGTGATGAGCGAAAGAAGCCAGACGAAAAACGGTACATACTAAATGATTCCACTTGTAAGAAATTCTAGAAAATGTAAACAATCTATTGAACAGAAAGCAGATCAGTGGCTGATTGAGAGTGGGATGTGGGAGGAAAGGATGTTTTACAAAGGAGTACAAGAAACTAGTAGGGGTGCTGAACACGTTCATTATCACGATTGAGTTGATGGGTTTATGGGTATGTACTTAGGTTAAGGATATCAAATTGTACATTGAATATGTACAACTTATTTTATGTTAATTATACTTCAGGAAAGCTGTAAAAACTCAAATTATACCTCAGTAAAGCTGTTCAGGATGCTCTAAATGACAGGAACTCTGCCCTATATTAAAGATGTTATAACAAGGAAACAAACACATACAAATGAAGCACTTAGTAACTTGAAGACAGGTCAAGACTTGGCTACCTGCCTGTATACCTCCTAGTCTTCATTTTCAGATGCTCTAAGGAGGAATTTGGGTGTGTGATGCAGGTTAAGGATCAGGATAGAGGAAAGAAATATGAATTATTAAAGGGTCAACATGAGCCTATATGTCTGCAAACCTGGAAAGCTGATCACACCTGGACTCTGGTCAGGCTGGAGTGAGTACAAATCTCACGGTTAATGTTCCTCATTGTTTGCCTGCTCTCTCACTGACAAAGCTTCAAGAAAGGAGCCATGATCCAGCAGAAGGAATCTTATTCCTCCCCTCTGCCCTGTGTCACCCAGTTTAGGTCCAGAGCCCAAAGGCTGCCAAGAGTATTCTCATAGACCCAGAGGGTTGGGGCCCCCATGAGTGAGGGACGAAAACCTGATCCATTCTGTGCACTGCTCATCTCTGCTAAGCTCCAGCACTGCTTCTCTGGCAAGATTCACGCATAAGAAAGGCCTATGTGAGAGTGTCCCCGCTTTACAGATTCACGTTGTCCATGATTGACTTTAAGTCACTGCCCTTTCCTGGTAGATCAAATGGGATTTCGTCATCATGATGACGAAAGCTCGGTGAACCTTTGCTTCAGAACCCCATACACATGGCAAAGAAGTCATTTCCCGTATAATACGCCCAGCAAACTACAAGAGTGAAGTTAATGAGCCTGGGAAGTGTTCTGAAAAAGGAAGATCCAGGAAGAGAAAGGAAGTCACCCAGGGGTGCCAGAGGGAGGAGATGAGGCAGTCAAGAGCTGGGAGCCTGTGTTTGGTCATCTTCTGACTGCAGCTGCCCTCTGTGGTGCATAGTGAA